GTACAGGATAATCCAAGCTTCCAAGTCATAGTCACATATGCTGCTTTCCTTCCTTAATGTGTAATGTTGCCCCATATTCTGCTTCTGTGCCATTTAGCTGGGGACCAAGCTTACAGGAACAGTCTCCCAAAGGCACGTTATTACACAGGCCTGAAACTATGTTAGTAGGAGAATTGCATTACTGTGAAATACACATCTTGGATAATTAAGAGGGGTTGGAAGTAAATGAGCTGATAGGATTCCTTTTGCATTTCATTTGCATAGTTCTTTGATAACATTAAGGCACAAGAAAAAAAAAGCACCATGAAAAACAGCACATAACAGCACTTGCCTTTGAACCTTTCCAGAACAAAAATTTGTAATAATGTGTGCCAAGGAAGAAAGAGGCAAGAAGTAGGTGTATTAACTGACTTGGAGAGTGTGGGTAGGCTTGAAATTTATAATGTTCTACAGGTCTTGGCAGTTTACCAAGGATTCCCCTTGTCCCCTCTGCCTTTCAACATGCATAAAGCCCGCTGAGATGAGAAATAAACAGCATGTTGCTATCAGACATATGGGATATGCTTAAGTAGTGGATTCAGTTGAAGATCCAGTTAAATGCTGCAGTGTTGCTGTGTTCATGAGAAAAACTGTAACCTTATGTAAATGAACTTTCTGTCATCTGCACGAGAAGAAACAGGACAAAATTTGGGGCTGATGGTCTCAACTCTATTGACTCCATTTAAAAATGCAATGTTGCAAGTAGCAGTCTTAGAAATATTCTTATGCTTCTTCCTTGGAAGGATAACCAAGTTCTTTAATATGAATTAGAACCATGAAATGAGGGAAAGAAAGGTGAGAAGAATGCATAAGAAATGACAAGTAGTTTGGAAATTTTGATCAATAAAATCTTGACGTGGTCTAAATGAAGGGAATGTGTTGGTGAACTCATTTCTCTGGGGATGAGCTTACAGTGCTGACGTTTTCTTGTGGCCCCCATGCTGAAACGAGGTAAGAGGCAAACTCACTCCCAGCATGATGTAGCCTTTTCTATCTGTTGCTGCTACTATGCAGTGAAACCTCTGCAGCTTCCTCAGTCCTTTGGCTCTGGAGACAGTCATCTTATGCTTAGCAAGATGCGTCTTGGTTGCTACTGTCTCCATTGCATGTTTCATATCCATACTTAATATTCTGGCCATGGGACAGAATCTTGTGATCGCAGCCTCTGATATTTGGCATCTAGCAGTATTTTAAGAAACTGCTGTTTTCAGTTAGCATGGGTTGCGTTTTGCAGTCTTGCAGAGCTTTTTAGATGTAATGTATGGCCAGTCTTCGTGAGTGAAGATTTGGGAAAGGTCTTTACCCTTCGAGCCTGCGCAATGGATTTTTTTTGGTGAGACCCAGTGTGCGCTGAACTGAGCCCACCCTTTAATCCTGAGGTTCATCTACCGGGGCCGAGCAAGCTTGGACAGTGGCAGTGAGGTCCTCAGAACGTAGGTTTGTTTAGAGTGACCTTCTCTTAGATGGATTGCCTTACAGGGCTGATGAGCTCCATCTGCCCGGGGGAGTTTTTCCCTGACCGGGAATCGAACCCGGGCCGCGGTGGTGAGAGTGGTGCATCCTAACCACTAGACCACCAGGGGATTGACAACAATGCACCTGGAGAAACAAAGCTGCAAGAACCTCTGCTGTGCCATGGGGATGGGAGATCCCATGATGCCACGAGTCCACACTGCACTAAAGCAGGGGCCTCATTCTGCATGAAAAGTGTTTTGTCAATGGAGTGGTGTTGCTGAGATATGGTGTCTGTATGGAGCCTTAATGTTTACAGCATTTATGAAATGTCCTGTGAGTTGGATTTGAATAAATTTTAATCCCAGGAGATTGAGTTCAGAGGGTTTCTCCCATCTATGATTTCTGCAGTTCTTTCTTCATGTTCAATCACTTTGCAATTTAATTATTACTCTTTTTAATGCAGAAAATTTTTTCCAAAGCAAAAGCTGGCTATGAAAATCTGAATATGGGTTTCCAAAATGGGAATGCTTAGCCATTTCATATTATGAGCAAAATTATACAAGCATGCTAATAGTTTGACAAGTCTGTTCTTGAACAGAACTGTTAAGCATATAAACAAAAAACCAAAAACTCAGCTCATGCTTATATGCTGTGCTTGTGATGTTTGCTTTCTCCTTTCCTCTGAAAATATTTTTAATGAAAAGAATGTGTCTTCAAAATATCCTTTTACTTCTCTCATATAAATTAATGTCATGCAGGCCTGTCCCCCCATGTTGTAGATGCTTAGAATATAGAGTGCTCCATACATTATGAAAAGGGTATTTGGAGTAATTTTAAACAATATTTTGAAGTGACCATGGTTTAAATTTGGCCTGGGATACTGAGCAGCCCACACTTCCCACACTGCAGTTCACTTGCTTTCAGTCCCTTAGGAGCGTTATGTAGAAGCTTTTCCCATCCCAGAAGAAGCAAAGCGAAACATGAGCAATTGCTGTGCTCTGCTGTAGCTGGCCCAGGTTTTCGTAGGGACATTTGTGGAAGCACCATCAGGATCCTGTGAAGCTGCTGGGGAAGGATGGTTGGGCTGATACACATTAGTCATCCTGAGTGGGCCAGTCTCACAGGGAGGAACACTGACTTGAGAAAAGCTGTGAAGCTAAGCCCTGGGAAATTTCAGGTGTCTCTCTGGAAATAGCAAGCCCACCAGTAGTTTGTAGATTTGAAAAGACAAATAGAGCAAAAATTCCATAAAATATGTGGCATCTTATGGATGTCTTGCTACTTCTCTCTTCTGTGTGCCACATTTTCTGCTTGAGTATATTCTGCCACCATTTTAGCATCTCCACCTTGCTGCAGAGCGAACGGTTAACTGCTTTTTTTAAGAAGTTTCTTTCTTCAGAAGTCCTTAGTGTTGTGAGCTTTTTTCCTCTGAGATGTCCTTGTAACTGTCTTATCTTTAGTGTATTCTTTTTGTGTCTCAAACTGATCATCCCACGTCCTTGGGCCTTCAAGTTCCTTCGACAGACCTGTGGAAAATAGGGTCAGAGCTGAGGGTAGTAATTTTTCTGCCTTGGTGTAAACCATTTTCCCCTCCTTCCTTGTGGGATGGTAAATTTTGAGGAGAAGATCACAAGCTTCTGTCATTAGGCAGAGGTCCAGGGTGGGAAATTGGAGTTGGAAATCTCTTGGGCTTGCTGAAAGGCTTTGGTTCAAGAAGTAATAAGGTCAAGGTAAGGTCAGTCTTGGCTACTGCACACGTTATGACCCTAACTTTGTTTCAAAATCGAAACCAGCTTGAGACCAAGCTGTAAAAAGAAATGCCTGCAGTAAAGAGAGTTTACAGAGCAAGCAAAAGCCTGAGAACAGTAATGTATTTATAGAAAGCATGTGGATTGGTTAGTAAGGGGAGAGCGCAGCACAAAAAGAGTTGTGAAAGAAAGCTGAGGCAGCCAATTCTGCAGCATTTCATCCTTTTGAATGCACCAGCAATGCCTGGCCATTACCTCCATGGAGGCCACTGTAAGATGTGAAGGGGTCAAGATTTCTCCGAAGAGACTAGTGGTTTGGGGTGCTTCCATTCTGGGGTGTCAATCTTGAAAGAATCTGTAACAATTAGTCCAGGAAAAAAATGCAGTGTTGATGTCCATCAGCTAGAGTGGATGCTACATATGAGTTTCTGCCTAGGAAACTTAGAAATAGGTGAGGAGAAGAATAAAGGAACTGTGACTTTAGTGAAATGTTTTGTTGTGTTTTTATCATTACTTGTGATAAAAGTGATGAAATACAGTGGGCATTCCTCTTGCTGGAGAGCTTGACTGATGCAGACAAGACCTTTTGGGGATGGTGCTTGGGAAAGTTATTGGGAGACTGGGCTGTTTGACTAGAAGTCTCGAGGCAAACTGCTGGGTGTTAAGTGGAGAGCTGGAAAATACCAATATAGAGACCATTTCTAAATGCCTGTTTAGGAAAAAAAGTACAAATCAGCTAATTGATGTGTCCCCACTTCATGTAAACATGTAGAGGAGAGAAAAAGTTTTTTGTTAGAAGTCAGCTGAGGTGAATTGCAGCCCACCTGGAGTGGGCTGTAGTGCTGGAGGGGCCTGTCGTATCTCCTGCCTCCCAGCCCTGCGATTTGCGTCCTGCCAACTGTCTCTGTTCCGACTGCAGAACAAACCAGTTTAATTTCCTGGACTGCAATCCCCTGCCCCACCCTGCAGTTTCTTAACTGTGTTAACTTTCTGCCATTTTAGTGATCTCAATCAGTTTGTCGTATGTTACGATGAGTGCCAGAAGGAGCTCAGTGCTCCTGGGAGAAATATGTGACAGGAGGCAGAGGAAGGAAGGGTAGGAGCTCCCTGCTGCAGCAGCTGGGGTCTATTAACTCGGTTCCAGCTGTACTGAGAAACTATCCTTATCATGGAGTAGCTGAAGAGAGATGATATCTTGTTCTTCTCTAGCTATTGTGAGACAAATGAAGAGACCTCTTGCAGGTCTGATGCATCACTTGCAAAAACCTCACATTTTTTTACTAGTGAAGACCAAGGAGAAATGTCCTAAGCCCTAAGCATGGGCTGACACCCTAAGCATGCTTGCATTTATCTAGTAATATGTCACCCAGGTACCAGGCACTGGTCCATAGAAATAAAATATACAACACATGGAGTTTATCTATTCTGACATGTTAATAGACTATCATTAATGACTATAAGTTTTGCTAAAGTAAACAGAAGGGAAACTGTGAATATCATCTGTCTGTACATCATAATAATCATTTTAATGTGGAGAAAAAGAAATAGGTTCTGAAATTTGTATAAGAACATTTTAAAAAGAATTTTTTTTTTTAGCCATCTAGAGTATTTGTTGTTTTTTCCTAGGACATATAAGAAGGGTCTAGCACATCTGGGGAAAATCCAGTGACTGGAACTCTTGTCCGGATATTTTGCTCTGTGTATGCTTGAAGGGATGGGTGAAATGCTGGTGTTGACAGTTCTCTCTCTCTTATTCAGGGTCGACATGTCAAAACGGGTCAGCTGGCGGCCATCAAAGTCATGGACGTTACAGAGGTGAGTAGAGGAACCTTCTGCTTTTTTAGCAACATGGGTAAAATTTAATATTTGAGAGGTGGTATATGGCTTACCTCACATTTCTATTGAAGGGCATGATTTTTACATGTGAATGTTTGCTCTCTGCTTGCACGACCTGACCTCTCAAACCCATCTGCCCTTTACGAGATTTCTGTGTGCTGGGGCCTCTGGCCTTCACAAATTGCTTTGGCCAGCACCAGGGCATATGAGTGCACACAGCACTCCATTTTCAGAAATTTCTTAGAAGAGGGGAAAAAAATCATATTTCTCACTTTTTGTCTCTTAAATGTATCATCTTGCTTTTACTGAAAAAGAAGGTGAGGAGGATGCTTGACACAGAGGACAGTGTTCTCCCTGGTACATTTGCAGCCTACAAAGGGTATATGTTTATTCAAAGGATTGGGTCCAATAAAGTTCCAAGAAGCCTGAAAGCAGAAACATCTAGCAGGAATGATGCAGGACGCATGAGCAGATTGCTAGCAGAATTCAGCAATGTGAAGTAGTAGTAGTAGTAGTAACTGACCCACAGGGATTTACTTAGATGGGAAAGAAGGGAAATGAACCCAGCCAAAGAAATAAAAAATATGTGCCTATATTTGAATCCTTAGATGTCTTGCAGTTTATGCTGTTCAAAAAGCAATCAGTTTAAGTCATAAAAAAGATCAAGAAAAGAATGGGTTTCTCCCTGTTGATTCCAGTTGTGTTGTATAGAGTTACATCCACTAATTCACAGAGCTTCAGATTTAAAATTGAATGAGAGCCTCCCATGTGCAATGCTTGACTGATACTGCTCTTCTGTAGAGGTATTGTGCCTTTTCAAACTGTCTTACTCTTCTGAACTCCTCAATCTTACAGGTATTCAGGTGAAAATTTTGTTAATGCGTGTGCATTACACAGAGGAAGGGGTCTTTGGCAAGACTGGTTGTATTAAGCAAAACTCCTGGAAGCGTATTGCTGCAAAATATTTTGTAGTTTAGTGTGTATATAGGTGCAACAAGTAAAAGTAGCCTTGGACACAAGGTCCTACATGAGTGGTAGGGTGTAACAGGTAAATAGGCAGGTGAGGAAGAAAATAAGAAGGCAGGGTTAGGTCAACTGATAGGACTTCAGTCTTATCTCTGAATCTCGTAGTGATCGATGGGCAGTGTGATTGCTGCTCTCTAACTTAAGCTGTTGTGTCTGCCAAGAGCTAGATATTCTTGCTTTGTAAGATGGCCTGATAAAGATCAATTTTCAGCTGAAGTTTGTCAAAGTCTGCCTTCATGAGGAGGCAATGCTTTTTTTGCTGCAGTTAACAAGCAGAGAAACCAGTGAAAAATGAAGGTGTGTTGACACACAGTGAATGTTCTTTGCACAGCAAGTGTTTCCATTTGTGCAATGGTTTTACACAGGGCAGCTTGCTGGACTGTGCATGGCAAAGGATTCTTCCATAATATTAAGATTGGCTCTAATGCACACTCTTTCTGTTTTTAATATTGTGTATTAATCACAAACAGTTGTAATGGAGAGGTTGCACGGCAAAAGGAAAACACTTGAAAAATGCTGTCTATGGTATGGCTAAAGTCATGTTGCAGGGCACGGCTTAAGTTTTGAAACTTTCTGTAATTTCCATCTGGTTTTGAAAAGCAAGTTGTATATTGGCATGGTCTCTCAAAAACGCAATGCTTTTTGAGGGGATGAAGGGCAGTCAGAGGGAAGAGTTTGGAGATGTTAGTTCCATGCAGCTTAAAAAATCATTGTCTTTCCTACTAGTGGAGCCTCATGTGTTTTGCTTCAAAGTAATGAGCCTGCAGGGGCTAAAAATGTGTAAATTCCTCCAAGTCATGCTAAATCAGCTCCACTTTGTAACACTGGGCATGGGTGATACTGTTGCAAGGATCATTTTCTCAGTGGCAGATGTGGCCATAGGATGTTCCTGTCCAGTCTTGCTTGCTGGTTCCTTGCCTGTTTCCCAACACTTGTGCCGACACGACTGCCTGGGGGCCAGATGGTGACCTGGATCAGTGAACAGGCTGCGGTTCCAGTTTAAAAATACCCTCACTCCTCTCCTTCCTCTGGTTTATTTATAAACTGGATTGGTTCATTGATCACTGATTAGCACATGTTACCAACTGTTGTGTGATTTCTATGAAGAAGGTGGCATGAGGCCAGAAAAGAGCTACTGCTGGCCATCAGGGAGAAGGGGCAGTAGCTCAAATTGACATTTCTGCCAGATACAGCCATATCCTTAAGACATGGCTTCAGTTTCTCATGGGATGGTTCATGAACACCTCCCTTTGCTGGCAAACAATGCAGCTCCATCTCCAGTGCAGCTCACCACAACATACAGGGACAATGGGAGGAGAGAATGTGGGGACAGAGAGAGGACAGTGACTGTCACCCTTATCTCTATCCCAAAAGAAACACTGAAGAAACCACAGCCTCAAATTCACCTTCTCTGCCTGCTGTAAGAGCTACAGTTAGATGAACTGCTAATGGTAATACTAACAGTGTCCATGCCCATGGAGAAAGAAGCTTCAGTGGAAACTTTCACAAAACTGAAATTGTGATTTTTCCAATGAGTGGCTGCTTGAATCTGTAGGTGATTTGTGCCAATGTGCATATTTTATTGGCAGTGTTATGCCTTTCTGCTTAAATTCAAGCAGTACTGTGAGGGATATCTGATTATTTTGACTAACCTGAGTTGAGAACAGACACAGACTTTCTTCTGGGATACCTCTGATCCAGTGCTTGCTTTGCCAAATGCTTAACAAATTAGAAGACCTCATGTGTTTACATGCTCTGTGGGCACACCCCAAATTTTCAGACTTCAAGGCCACGATTCTGCAATTCACACATTGCTCAGGATCAGTGAAGTTATGTGAGTTCTGGGCTGTAAAGTTTTTAACACCCAAACAGGTGAGTTGTCAAACTCAGAGTAAAGGCTTTCCTTTAAAAGTTTTTGTTGGCATGAAGAAAATGAGGTAGTATAATCTCTGACTAGAGATATTGGAAGAAACATTATACCTCTGTATTGTACATGGCACTGTGGAAATGCTCTTCATCCTTCTCATCTTTTCTTGTGGTTTTCTGTTTAGATTTTAATTTTGAAAAGGATGGTGGCAATCATGAGAAAAGAGGAGGTGGGCTGAAGCTATCAGCTTGATCTTTGAATATATTATGACTAGTTAGTACTGCTGCCTTAAATGTTGGGGGGGTGTTGATGTGCATAGAACTTTCCTGCCTCTTCTATTTTCCTCCTTTCTAAACAAATTAAGAAAAGACTTAGAAGACTGTATGAATCTTTACAGATCTTTACTTCTACAGCACTAAAGCGAGCACTAAGGGATCTGTAAGACCTAAAGATCTCTAAGTTTTAGTACAGAATGGTGCATATGTAAGTCCTATTTTCACTTTCTGAGGGCGAAGCTACAGTGCATGTAGGCTGAAAAAATTTCACTAGAGTATAGAACAAATAAAACCCAAAACCTCACCAGTCTTCATCAATGGAAAGCTATTCTAATTCCTTGTTGGAATGAACCCAATGACCATAAAAGGGGAACAATATGAAGTATCATTGTATAGGCACTTTAAAAATTGTTTTAGAAAACGTACATATGTAGGATGACTTTCATGCTGCACATGTGTTGTGGGGAGGCATTATTTGAGAGATTCCTGTAGTCTGTCATTAATCTTTTTATTGTAGGGTCTCTGTCTCTGTTCCTTTTGTGACATTGTATTGGAGAAGGCAGTGATCAGTCTGTGTTGACCCCTTCCACTCACTGACTGTTAGGTTTCCATAATTGTAAGATTTCCATGACTCTTAAAATTTGGTAGTCACTATTCAGTTAAAGAATCGGTTTTCTTGTGAAGTAAATAACATTTAAAACCTTAGCAAAGCTTACTTGGCAAATCTGCCTGCACCCAAGCTGTTAACTTACATTATACCCTAAAAGCTTGACTATGCTTAACTCCTTTTGAAGCTTTCCTTGCAGCTGCATGGTTGTTTCCAGTGTCACTCCTGTGTTCCGCTTCCAGCAATGCTTTTCTCTTTGAAAGCTTTAGTAACTGATTTTTGAGGGAAAAACACAATTGCTTCTCCTCTGTTTGTTATAACCCCCGATGCTGCTGCTTCTTCCTCCTACCTCTTCCCACACACACACTTGGCATCCCTTGGGAAAGTTTTCTGCGTGCCTTTTTTAATAGCAGCATTTCTCAGCTCTTGTGCCCAGTGTTTCATGACTTGTCCAGTCTAGTCTGTGTAAACTTATGCTAAGTAAACAACTGAATACTGTATCCTGCTGATTTGTGAAAGAAGCTGGATTGCTTTTAGTGCTTGCCTGTCTTGCTGTTTCTGTACGTCCTCTGCAGAAAAATTAACAACCTCAGACCAAAACCTCCAGGCCTGCGGAGAAACATGGCACATCTCCATACCTAGAACAGGAAAGGTTACCTGAATTACTCATTGTCATCTTCCTGACTCTGCTGACTGCTTATTTCTGTTGCAATAGGCAAGTCCCTTTGATTCTTGTGAGTCTCTATCTTATAGCCTACATGATGTTATAAACTGTAGTCTTGTGGATGAGCTGTCCATAGGACATCCCAAAAGTAGTCTGCAGGAGAACCACAGATAGATAAAAATATGTGTATATTCCCACACAAATTGGCAGACAAAATGAGGGGAAAACAAAATAATAAACACCAAAAGTTTGCCCTAACTATTATCTGTGTTCTTTTATTCCCCGTGAAGACTGAAAGACAATCCGTGGATTTTGATCTGTTTAGAGGGAAAAAAAAATAAAAAGCTGATGGCTCACTCTAGAAGATTGGGAAATGCATATACTTGTGGCCCTGTGCAACAGAACTGGGTCAAGCCAGTCTGGAGAAGCTGAATATGGGCCATCCTTTTAGTGCAGAGATACGAATGCACTGCTTTACCTGGCTTAGTGCAGCTGCCTGATAAAGAAAGTACTTATATTGGTCCATGGCTGTACTTACTG